CATCCCACCTCAATCCCACCTCCTCCCATCCCATCCCATCCCATCCCATCCCATCCCATCCCATCCCATCCCATCCCAAGGGAAGGCCCTGGAGTGACACATCCCAGCTCTCTGGGCACAGTGGGGGACCCAAACGGGACTCATGCCACGGGCAGAAGCCTCCCAGGAGCTCCCCCAAAAATCTCACCCCAAACCTCCCCTCCCGCCCCACCCCAAGCCCAGCAGGCTCAGCATTCCCAGCCCACGGGAGCCTCCTCCTGGATTTCCCAATCCCATCACTTTTTTCCAGGAGCAGGGGGTGGGCACAGGTTTGGGAGGGGGGCACCACCCCCGGATTCTCCCCCAAACCCCAGAGGTGATGGCCCCAGCCCACGGGAATCTCCCTGATTCCACTATCCCACTTTTTTCTGGGAAAGGAGTTGGGCACCAGTTTCGGGGGGGCTTGGACAGGGAGACCCCCACCCCCATTTCCCCGGGAAGGGGCTGGGAGCAGCCTCTCCCAGTGAACTGGGATTTCTGGGATCAGCAAGGGGTGCCTGTGCGAGGCAGGCAGGGGTGAATCCAGCACATTCCACTGCTTCAAGCAAATCCATGAATTCTCCTTCGCCAGCACTTCCCTAATTCTCCTCCAGTCACCGCCCCCCCGGCTAATTCCCTCCTATCCCCAAAAAAGAGGATCTATCCAGAGGATGGAGGGACTGATCCCTTCCCGAATCCCGGGTGTGCCCGTTCCTGAGTGGGGGAAGGGCAAATCCAGCACTGGGAGCCGAAATTAGGTCTCGGAGCAGGGGGAGGAATCAAAAAATCCGGGATTGGCGAGCGAGGGAATCGCTGCAGCCGGAGCAGCTGCGGCAGCCTGGGAATGCTGAGCACTGGGAATGGGCACCCCAGGAATGCTGGGGAAGGAGCAGGAGCTGGGGGAGGCAGGGAAGGGCCAGGGCAGCTCCCAGCTCTCCCTGACGTTCCCCATCCCAGACATCCCACTCCCCATCCCAGTCAAATCCTGCTCCTCATTCTGAACACATCCCACCCCCCATCCCAGGCATCCCACTCCCCATCCCAGTCAAATCCTGGAAAAGGGTGTGGAAAATGTCCCACGTGTCCCCTCCCTGGGCCACTGGAGAGCCGGGATGCTCTGGACATTCCCAGAACTCCCAGCCAGTGCCAGAACACTACACTGGCCTGGAAATCCTGGGAAAAGCCCAAATTATTTCGGGGTTCAGAGGTTTTAAGGCTCAGAATTCCCACGGGGACTGATCCTGGCACCCAGGGAAGTGCCCCAGGAACACTGCAGGAAGGAGGGCGAGGGAGAGGCAGGCAGGGATAACAGCTCAGGGAAGGAATTCCAGCCCATGAATTCCAGCCCCTGCTCCAGCCTGGCTCCCTGGGAGGCACCCCCCATTCCCACCTCCCAGCAAAGCTCTGGAATGGAGCTGGAGCTGTGGCCTGGATGGAAGGAGCCTCCCCCAGTTAATCCCAGATCCCAAATTAAAGACTGGGAATACGATGGGAAAAATCTCCTTAGGCTGGAAAATGCCAATTTGGGAATGTCAAGCCAAAAATGTCAATGTTTAAGCTCCTCCTACATTTCCTTTCCCAAAGGAGGTTTTGGAGGGGTTTCATCCCACGGAGCTGGTGCCCAGCATTGGATCGGGATCGGGATCAGGATCAGGATCAGGGGTGCCCACCCATCCCACCCCCCAAACTCCAAATCCTCCCAAACTGCAGCATCCTGCTGCCCCAGGAAAGGGATTCCCCAACTCCTGCAGGGAATTGCACCTGGAACTACAGCACAGGGTGCTCCTGAAATGTGGGATTAGGGATTTCTAGGAGCTTTTTTTCCTGGGGATGATGCAGGATTCTGTGGGATGTTATGGAATGGTGGAGGATGCTGTGGAGAGCTGTGGGATGCTCTGGGATCCTATGGGATGCACCCGCATTCCTAGGGCAGGGATCAGGCCCAAAACTTGGAGGAGATGGAAGGGAGAAGTGGGAAGGAGAGATCCTGGGATCCAGGGAGAGGCACAAACAGGGACAGACAGGGATGCAGGCAGGGATACAGGCAGGGATCCAGAAGAGATCCAGAGGAGATCCAGGCAGGGATCCAGACAGGAAAATGGGCAGGATGTGGGCAGTGATAGGGGCTGGGAGATGAGCAGGGATGCAGGCAGGGATCCGGGCAGGGATCCAGGCTGGGATATGAGCAGGATCCAGCAGGAGAAGCTGGGTTTGTGCTCCAGCCCCAGTTCCCAGTGCCTGGAGCTGGGATTGGGGCTGCAGCTCCTGCCCTGGCTCCCGCCCCGGCGCCGCCGTGCCCGGAATTCCAAGCAGGCTCAGCCCAGCCCAGATGCCGGGCGGACACTCCAGGAGGACAAGCCAGGCTTTATTCCCTGCTCCATCCCAGCCTGGCAAAGGCCTCGGGACACAGACCCTGCTCTGTTCCACCCCCGGCATCCCGGGATGCAGCACCAGGAATGGCACAAGCACTGTGGAACATCCCGGGATGCAGCCCTGGGAATGGCACTGTGGAACATCCCTGGGAATGGCACAGGCACTGTGGAACATCCCAGGATGCAGCACCAGGAATGGCACTGTGGAACATCCCAGGATGCAGCCCTGGGAATGGCACTGTGGAACATCCCGGGAATGGCACAGGCACTGTGGAACGCCCTGGGAATACAGGGGCAGCTCTCCCAGCCCTGGGATTAGGGAGCAGCACAAGGCAGCTCTCCCAGATTTTCCAGGGAAGGGAAGGAAGGGAAGTGCAGCTCTTGCAGCCCCTGGATCAGGGAGGGAAAGGCAGCGCTGCAGCGCTTTGGGCGCTTTCCAAAATAGCTGCTACCGGGAAAAAAAACTGGGAAAGCAACCAAGGGCCTATGACAAATCCTCCCTACGCAGCTCCCGGAGCCGCTGCCAGCCGGAGGCTTGGCCTATCCACAGGGATGTGCTGGAGGCTTGGCCTATCCACAGGGATGTGCTGGAGGCTTGGCCTATCCACAGGGATGTGCTGGAGGCTTGGCCTATCCACAGGGATGTGCCAGAGGCACCGGCACCCCGTGCCCCGAGGGCGGAAATCACAAATTCTGGCTGAGGGGAGCTGCTCTGGAACACTCCCCACTCCTGAACCTTCTCATGGAGAAGGGAAATCAGGGAGGGGTCCCTTGGGAAGGACAAACATCCTGGGATACACAGCAGGGATTACTCCTCCAAAGACACCCCCGAGGCAGCCAGATGTGGGGGAACCTGATCCCGACAACCCCCAAAACTGATGCAGCTGTGGGGGGGCAGGCGTGGGGGGTCCAGACAACAGCATCCCAATGTATCCCAAGGAATCCCAGCGCTGGGAAGTCGGGAATGGGGGCTGATCCCAGGCCAAGTGGGCAGCGAGCCGCGCTCCAACCGCACAGAGCCCTGGCAAGGTGGGAATTCCAGGAGGGAATTCCAGGTGGGAATCCCGGGGTGACTCACATGCCGCCGATGGAGACGGTGGCGCAGGTGCGCTCCGAGAAGGCCGGCACCGTGTCGGTGGCGCTGCTGGCAGGGCGGATGTAATCCACGGAAACGTTCACCTGGAATGGAAACGTTCACCTGGAATGGAAACATTCACCTGGAATGGGAACGTTCACCTGGAACGGGAACAGCTCAGCGCCGGCTCCGCCCGGCCCCACAGCCAGAGCCCCAAACGTTCACCTGGAATGGGAACGTTCACCTGGAACGGGAACGTTCACCTGGAATGGAAACGTTCACCTGGAATGGAAACATTCACCTGGAATGGGAACGTTCACCTGGAATGGGAACGGCTCAGCGCCGGCTCCGCCCGGCCCCATGGCCAGAGCCCCGGGATCAGCCAGCCAGGCCCGCATCCCCATCCTCATCCTCATCTGTATCCTCATCCTCATCTGTATCCTCATCTGTATCCTCATCCTCATCTGTATCCTCATCCCCATCCTCATCCTCATCTGTATCCTCATCCCCATCTGTATCTTCATCCTCATCTGTATCCTCATCTGTATCCTCATCCTCATCTGTATCTTCATCCTCATCTGTATCCTCATTCTCATCCCCATCCCCATCCTCATCCTCACCTCCATCCTCATCCTCATCCTCATCCTCATCCTCACCCCCATCCCCATCCTCATCCTCACCTCCATCCTCATCCTCATCCTCATCCTCATCCTCACCCCCATCCCCATCCTCATCCTCACCTCCATCCTCATCCTCATTCCCATCTTCAGCCTCATCCTCATCCTCATCCTCACCCCCATCCTCATCCTCATCCCCATCTTCAGCCTCATCCTCATCCCCATCCCCATCCCCATCCTCTTCCTCTCCATGCCCAAACCCCTGGGATCAGCCAGCCAGGCCCTCATCCCCATCCTCATCCCCATCCTCATCCTCATCCTCATCTGTATCCTCATTCTCATCCCCATCCTCATCGTCATCATCATCATCATCATCATCGTCATTCTCATCCTCATCCTCATCTTCATTCCCATCCCCATCCCCAACTCATCCTCATCCCCATCCCCATCCACATCCCCGTCCTCTTCCTCTCCATGCCCAAATCTCCAGGATCAGACAGCCATGCCTATCCCCATGCCCATCCCCATGCCCATCCCCATGCCCCATGCCCATGCCCATCCTCCCCACATTCCCACTGCCAGTCTCCAGCCCCTCTCTCTCCAAGCCCAGGGAACGGAGCCGTTTCCCAGCAGCTCCGGCACCACCAGAGCTTCCCGGCACGTTAAACCAGGAGCTTCCAGGCAGGACAAGATCCCAGTCGGGATGCCAGCACCTGCCAGGTGTCCCCAGAGGGGATCCCGAGGTGCAGCGGCCCCGGCACCTCCCGGTTTATGGACACCACATTCCCCGCTCCACCAGGGCTGTGCCCTGGAATCAGCGTTTCCAGGCAGGATGGGAAGGGCTGGGGCAGGGCAGGGAACATCCCGAGCCTGGATCCCGCCATGCCCCCACGGCTCTGACACAGCAGGAGGGATTGGGACCCTGCTGCCACCGCTCCAGGATCCCAGACAGGGCCTGGGAACGCCTCGGGGGCAGATCCTGCTGGATGCATCACCTCCCACTGCACCAGGGCTGGGGTGAGCTGGGATGTGCAGGGATCAAGGAATCCTGGAGTGGGTTGGGTGGGAAGGGATCTCAGAGCCCCTGCAGTGCCACCCTGCCATGGCAGGGACACTGCCACTGTGCCAGGCTGCTCCAGCCCCAGTGTCCAGCCTGGCCTTGGGCACTGCCAGGGATGCAGGGGCAGCCCCAGCTGCTCTGGCAATTCCAGCCCAGCCAGGAATTCCTCATGGCCAAGATCCCATCCATGGCTGCCCTCTGGCACTGGGAGCCATTCCCTGTGTCCTGTCCATCCCTTGTCCCCAGTCCCTCTGCAGCTCTCCTGGAGCCCCTTCAGGCCCTGCAAGGTCCCCTTGGCACCTTCCCTCCTCCAGGCATCACCCCCCAGCAGTTCCCAGCATCACATCCCACATCTGCGGGCGCCATTCCATGAAAATCCCACCCAACCCCACCCCTCTGCTCCCCAGGGAAGCTCCATCCTCGATGCTTTCCCGGTATCAGCTGGAACACCCTGAGGCTCTGGGCTAGAGGGGTGACACTGGGGTGACACGGGGGGCATGTGGGGATCTTTGGGGACATCCCAGGGCTGCTGCCTCGGGGCTGGACTGGGCCCCTCTGGACCTTTCCCAGTTCCCACTCCTGTTCCTGTTCCCGTTCCGCATGGCCGGAGCCGCGCTGAGCCAAAGGCAGCCAGACAGGCGAGGCAGGAGCATCCCCAAACCCCTCCAAAGCCTCGGCTCATCCCGAAAATCACTCATTAAACCAACATCAAAATGCAAAGAGGGCCGGAGCGTCTGGCAGGGCGCCGGAGCCGCGGCTTTTCCGCGCGGAGAGGGGGCTCCGGCAGGAAAGAGCCAATTAAGGGGAGCGGTTACAGCGATTCCTCGCAGCAAAGCTCCCGTCGGAACCACTGGAGGGGAAAAAGAGACGCCGATTACTCCGAGAGGCAGGTTGGGAATTCAGCTGCTCCAGGGCCTTTGAGATGTCTGGCTCAGGAGCGGCTGGCGTGGGAAACACCTGGCTCGGGATGCGGCACCGGGAACGGGGAGAGGCGGCGGCGGAGCAGCCGGGGGGAACGGGGATGCCCGGGCTCAGGGAGGAGTCAGGAGAGATGGGTGGGGTGGGATGGGATGGGATAATGGGATGGGATGGGATAATGGGATGGGATGGGATAATGGGATGGGATAATGGGATGGGATGGGATGGGATGGGATGGGATGGGATGGGATGGGATGGGGTCACCCCTCAGCAGCAAAGCCCTGTGTTGTGTCCCGCTGCATCAGATGTGCCCAGGGGCAGGAAGGCTCCACAGAGTGATCCGGAAAGGTCGGATCCGTGGGACAAGGACATGGATGAGGTTCCACAAGGCCAAGTGGAGCCCTGGCACAGGGTGTGGCTGCCCCTGGATCCCTGGAAGTGCTCAAGGCCAGGCTGGATGGGGCTTGGAGCCACTTGGGACAGGGGACATGCCATGGCAGGGCTGGAACCATTCCATGATTCCATGAAGTTCCATGTCCCGCCTTGGATCACACCAGCCCCACGGAACACTCCAGACAGGGAAAGCTGGGAAAGGCCCTGGGGGTGCTGCTCAGCTGGAAGGACCCAGAGCTGCAGGGACAATGCCCGGGATCATCTGAGGGCAGGCCGGGGTCCATGTGACACCAGACGTGGCACTGCCACCCCACAGCTCCGGCAGCAGGGACAGCAGGCAGAGCATTCCCGGGATCCAAGGGCAAGGTGCCCGTGCAGGGGCTGGGGGTGCAGGGACCCCCTGGCACCCCTGGGCTCCGCTCCCCCCGGAGCAGCCGGAGCCGCGCCTGGGCGGCTTTCCAAGGTCAGCTGCAGTCAGGCTGGATTAAATCACTGCACAGCTCCGCTCCCGGGAGCGCATCCAGCCCGGAACGGCCGCACCGCACGGGCTCGGAGCGGCCACCGCCGCCAATGTCACCCACGGGGAGCCGGAAATGGGGGGTGGGTGGCAGCCCAGACCTGCCGGGCTAAAAATACCCCACCCGCCCGCGGATCTCCCGGCCCGGCGGCGTCACCCGCTCCCGGGAATATTTTTACTTCCCTGGCAGCTCGTGCCGGGTGGAAGGGCCGGGGGGGCTGGGAAGGGGCTGGCGGGGGGCTTGGGGCGGTGGGTGCCCCCCGTGTCCCTCCCGTGCCGGAGGAGGTTCCCGGAGACCCGGCGGGGGCCAGGGGATGGGAGCAGGAACGTGCGGGATGATCCCAGCGGGATGGGGGCTGCAGGAGGCACGGCGGGGCAGACCCAGGGAAGCGTTTTCCCCCTGGATCAGCGATTTCCCTCCCGAGGGCCGGCCCGTCCCGGGCCCCCCACGCATCCTGCTGCGGGCAGCGGGATTTCCTGGGAATGGCGAGCGGGAGCCGGCTCCGCTTCCCTAACGCCCTCTCCATCCTCCCGCCATCCCTCCTGGAAAAGGCCGGGATGTGGAACATCCACGGCAGTCCCCGGGCGCCTCCAGCGCCTCCGGCATGGCCAGGAGCGGATCCAGCAGGAGCCGAGCTCCCTCCTCCCTCCCGCTCCAGCGGCTGCCGGAGGGGCCACGGAGACCCCCGGGGCAGCATCGACCTTGGAGCGGGATAACCCTGCAAGCGCCGGGCTGGGAGGCGTCGCGGGGAGGGCGACGGATGCAGGGGAAGGAGAGGTTCCCGAATTTGGGATCGTTACGCCGGGAACGGTCCCGCTGCCCGCGCCAGCCCACTGCAGAGCCGCGCACGCCGCGCATTCCGAGCGCGATCCGGCCGGGAAAACTGCGCTCCCCGGCAGCCTCCGAGCGGCCAAATCCTCCCCGGCAGCCAAATCCTGCCCAGCTCCACACGTGGAAGCGGCGGGTGACGCAGCCGTCCCCGTGACGCTCCAGAGCTGGCAAAGCCGCCCCGGCTCCCGCACGTTCCCGGGAACGGCATCCCGGATCCCGGCTCAGGCACGGCGCAGCTCCCCGAGGGACGAGTCCCCACCGCCCCCGGCCCGGCTGCACCAAGAACTGGGATCTTCCCAAAATCCCCCCGGGCATCGCTGCTGTGCCGAGCTCTCCCAGAGCTCCCAAGCTCCCGTGAGACGCAGGAAAAATTGCCCGACATTCCAAAAACCCTCCAGTCTGCCAAAGCCTTCCCTCTCCCCGGGACTGGGATGGTGTTCCCAGGGAGAAGGTTTTCCCTGGTCAAACCCATCCCTGTTTTATCCCAGCTCTGGTCCCTAGCAGTGCTGGCACCGGGATTGCTGCTGCTGTAACCCCAAAAGGAAAATCCCTGGAAGCATCTGAGGGGACCAGACAGGTGAATGCCCTGGAAAACCACTGGGAAACCACTCAGGCCTCTGGAGATGGGCAGCGTTCCCAGCTGGAATCAGCCTTCCTGAGAGGGGTGGGACAGGATGGGACACAGGGATGGGACACACAGGGATGTGACACAGGGATTGGACAGAGATGGGACACATGGATGGGACACAGGGATTGGACAGGGATGGGACACAGGGATGGGACACAGGGATGGGGTCCTGGGACACCCCAGGGAGCCCCTCCTTTCCTCCCCCCGGAGCAGCTGGCAAGGACGGGGTGGCACCGCTTCCACGCACAGGGAATTTTCATCCCAGAGCTCTCCCTTGCCGGCTCCCTCCATCCGAGCGATTAATCCCAGAGTTAATTAGGGAAGAGCCGCGATCCATCTCCCGCGCCCGGCGCAATTACCCGGAGCGGCTCCGCGGCGCGGCGCGATCGATGGGCGGAGGAGCCGGCCCTTCCCGACACGCTCCACGGATTTATTCCACAAATCCATAGTGGCCCGGGCAGCCGGGCGCCGGCTCCGCTTCATCCCGCGCCGCCGGGCAAATTCCAGCGGCCGGGAAGGACACAGCGGAGCGGGGAGAGGCCCTGGCACAAGAGCCAAAATCCCCAAAGCCAGCCCTTATGTGCCATGAAAATCCCAGCCCGGAAAACTCCCGCTGCTCAGGGATGAGAGGGCAAGAAGGAAAATTCACTGCCTCGCATCGCTTCCCAGGGAGCAGGGAATTCAGAGGCGGATTCCCATATCCCAGCTCCTCTCCCAACAGGAGCCGTGGCAGCCACAACCGGGATGGACCCTTCCTCATCTCCCCTCGGTGCTTTCTCCAGACGGAATTATTTTGGAAAGCAACATCAGGGCTGATCCAGCGCTCCAGCAGGATGGGATGGGATGGGATGGGATGGGATGGGATGGCATGGGATGGGATGGGATGGCATGGGATGGGTGCTGGGTCCAACAGGATGAGCTGGCATGGGCTCAGATGTGTCCACAAGGAGCCTCCCAAGGCACAGGGACGTGATCCGTAAGGACGATGGGATGGGATGGGATGGGATGGGATGGCATGGGATGGGATGGGATGGCATGGGATGGGTGCTGGGTCCAACAGGATGAGCTGGCATGGGCTCAGATGTGTCCACAAGGACGTGATCCGTAAGGATGGGTCCCAGAGTGATGGGAACCGGGGCAGGCTGAGCTCCCCGAATTCCAGAACTCCTTGGAATCCCACAGCTCCTCGGAACAGCCAGGCACCCAGGGCAGGCTGAGCTCCCTTAATCCCAGAACACCCTGGAATCTCAGGGATCCCCAGGGTCACTCTCCAAAGGCACCCAGTGCCAGAGCCAATTCCAATCCCTGATCCAACACAGGGCACAGCAACGGCGGACGGCAGAAACCTGGCACCAGTAACCCCAGAATGGCTCAAACTGGGACCACACTGAGGTGCCAGAATCCCATTCCAGACCCGATGCTCCCATCACAAATCCCAACAACACTCCCAACACTCTTTTCCAACTCCGGGAAGCACCAGATTTCCCATTAAAAAAATCTCCCGAGCTGCTCTTTTCCCCTTCCCCTATTTTTCCGGCCTGCCCGGGCAGGCTCCGAGCTGGAAAGATCCAATTAGGCACCGAAGCAGCCCCGACGAGCAGCGACGGCCGCGCCATGAAGGGAATTGATTTCATTTGACCGTTTTATGAGCATTGGAAAATTGCATCCGGAGCGTTCGCTCCGCTGGCTAACACATTCCTCATTCCCCAAATTGCCCTGAACCAGCCTCAGAAAATAGCCAGGGAAACAAAGGGAGAAGAGAGGCAGAATTCCTGGGAAATGGGGAGTGCAACGCCTCGCCTGGAGGGGCACTCCAGGCTTGGGGGCATCCTGGAATTTCCCAAGGAGCCACATGCACCAGCATCAGACTGATCCCCTCCTTCATCCCCTCACCCTCATTGTCCCATCCCTTCTCCCCTCATCCTCAGCCTCATCCCAGCCTCGTCCCTCCCTCCGTACCTTCTTCCCGATGAGCTTCTTGCGCAGGAATTCCCGGGCCTCGAACATGTAGGGAATGTCATAGAGGGGCCTCAGCTTCCTGTTCTTGTCCTGCTGAGAGAGAGGACTCAGGTCAGGGGATTCCCAAATCTGCCCCATCGCCCCCCACCCTCTCCCAGGGCCCCCCCAGTTCCACATCCCAGTTCAGGCTCCGCTGAACCCCGAGGGGACCCTGGGATAATCCTGACATCTCCAGGAGGAGGTGCTGGCAGCCTCGTGGTGCCAGGTTGGACATCCCTGAGTGACAGCTCCAGGAGGGAACGGGATGACGGGAATTTGGGGTGGGGGTGACCAGGGAGACCCCCCGGGGCGTCCAGCCCCTGTCCAAGGGCATCCTCTGGAGTCACATCCCTGCAAAGGCTGCACAAAAAGGGGAGATTCCCAAAGGAAACGGGGATTCCACCCAACACAGTCCAACACAATCCAACATGACCCAATGTCACTCAACATGACCCAAAGCGACCCAGTGTGACCCAACACAAGGCAGAGTAACTCACTGTGACCAAATGAAGTGACCCAAAGTGACCCAACACAACCCAACGTGACACTCTTTTCCAACTCCGGGAAGCACCAGATTTCCCATTAAAAAAATCTCCCGAGCTGCTCTTTTCCCCTTCCCCTATTTTTCCGGCCTGCCCGGGCAGGCTCCGAGCTGGAAAGATCCAATTAGGCACCGAAGCAGCCCCGACGAGCAGCGACGGCCGCGCCATGAAGGGAATTGATTTCATTTGACCGTTTTATGAGCATTGGAAAATTGCATCCGGAGCGTTCGCTCCGCTGGCTAACACATTCCTCATTCCCCAAATTGCCCTGAACCAGCCTCAGAAAATAGCCAGGGAAACAAAGGGAGAAGAGAGGCAGAATTCCTGGGAAATGGGGAGTGCAACGCCTCGCCTGGAGGGGCACTCCAGGCTTGGGGGCATCCTGGAATTTCCCAAGGAGCCACATGCACCAGCATCAGACTGATCCCCTCCTTCATCCCCTCACCCTCATTGTCCCATCCCTTCTCCCCTCATCCTCAGCCTCATCCCAGCCTCGTCCCTCCCTCCGTACCTTCTTCCCGATGAGCTTCTTGCGCAGGAATTCCCGGGCCTCGAACATGTAGGGAATGTCATAGAGGGGCCTCAGCTTCCTGTTCTTGTCCTGCTGAGAGAGAGGACTCAGGTCAGGGGATTCCCAAATCTGCCCCATCGCCCCCCACCCTCTCCCAGGGCCCCCCCAGTTCCACATCCCAGTTCAGGCTCCGCTGAACCCCGAGGGGACCCTGGGATAATCCTGACATCTCCAGGAGGAGGTGCTGGCAGCCTCGTGGTGCCAGGTTGGACATCCCTGAGTGACAGCTCCAGGAGGGAACGGGATGACGGGAATTTGGGGTGGGGGTGACCAGGGAGACCCCCCGGGGCGTCCAGCCCCTGTCCAAGGGCATCCCCTGGAGTCACATCCCTGCAAAGGCTGCACAAAAAGGGGAGATTCCCAAAGGAAACGGGGATTCCACCCAACACAGTCCAACACAACCCAACATGACCCAATGTCACTCAACATGACCCAAAGCGACCCAGTGTGACCCAACACAAGGCAGAGTAACTCACTGTGACCAAATGAAGTGACCCAAAGTGACCCAACACAACCCAACGTGAGCCAATGTGACCCAAAGTGACCCAACACAACCCAACGTGAGCCAATGTGACCCAAAGTGACCCAACATAACCCAAAGTGAGCCAATGTGACCCAACACAACCCAACGTGACTCAACGTGACCCAAAGTGACCCAACACAACCCAAGGTGAGCCAATGTGACCCAAAGTGAGCCAACATAACCCAAAGTGAGCCAATGTGACCCAACACAACCCAACGTGACTCAACACAACCCAAAGTGAGACAACACAACCCAAGGTGAGCCAATGTGACCCAAAGTGAGACAACACAACCCAAAGTGAGCCAACGTGACCCAAAGTGAGACAACACAACCCAAGGTGAGCCAACATAACCCAAAGTGAGCCAATGTGACCCAACACAACCCAACGTGACTCAACACAACCCAAAGTGAGACAACACAACCCAAGGTGAGCCAACATAACCCAAAGTGAGCCAACACAACCCAAAGTGAGCCAACACAACCCAAAGTGAGCCAACACAACCCAAAGTGAGCCAACACAACCCAAAGTGAGCCAACACAACCCAAAGTGAGCCAACACAACCCAAAGTGAGCCAACACAACCCAACGTGACCCAACGTGACCCAACCCAATCCAACCCAACCCAGGCTCTGCTCTGCTCACGGCCCCTCACACCTCCCTGAGCTGGGGAGGAAATCATGGAAAAGAGGGAGATCAGGCCAAAGCAGCTGGAAATGGAGGAGCAGTCAGACAGAGAGGGAGAGGGCGGACACGGGCGGCGGCACTCGGCTCCTCCCTAATGAACGAGGCTTTGGCAGAGTTTATTGTCCTTGACACTGCTCATTCCCAGACTGCTCCTTGGAGATGCTCCCTCCTCCACACACAGCGCGCGGCCCTGCCGGCACCGGGGATGGGAACGGGATGGATCCAGAGAGGGGATCCCTGGGAATGGGATGGATCCAGAGCGGGGATCCCCGGGAACCCACAGCCAGTGCCGGGTATGGGAACAGGATGGATCCAGAGAGGGGATCCCTGGGAACCCACAGCCAGTGCCAGGGATGGGAACAGGATGGAGCCAGAGAGGGGATCCCTGGGAACCCACAGCCAGTGCCAGGGATGGGAACGGGATGGATCCAGAGAGGGGATCCCCGGGAATCCACAGCCAGTGCCGGGGATGGGAACAGGATGGATCCAGTCAGGGGATCCCTGGGAACCCACAGCCAGTGAAAGGGATGGGAACGGGATGGATCCAGAGAGGGGATCCCTGGGAACCCACAGCCAGTGCCAGGGATGGGAACGGGATGGATCCAGAGAGGGGATCCCTGGGAACTCTGGCACCTCCTGCCCCTGCAGCGGATCCCAAAGCAGATCCCAAAGTAGATCCCAGGTGCTGCTCCAGCCCCTGGAGCTGCAGAAGCTCAGAACAAGCACAGAGGATCTACTGTGGCACCACGGTAGTCTCTCTCTGCCCCTTCCCAGGGGAGCACATTCCCCCTTCCAAACTTCCAGCCCCTGACCATGGCCTCCTGAAGCATTCCCAATCCCCAAATCCTCGGGGTGACCCCAGACCCTTCTTTCAGTGGGGCCTGACAGATCCAGGCCCTGAGACGCTCCCGCCCTCGCCAAGGTCACGGCGGAGCTCCGACACCGAGCGCGGCTCCGCGCAGCAAAGCCCTGTGCAAACACTAATTAATCCTCACTAACGAACTCCAAATTTATGGCTTAGTTAAGTGTCTGTCTGGCACAGGCTGTTAAATCCCTAATCCCATCCCGCCGGAGCGGGAAGCGGGACGGCAAAGCCCTGGGTGGCCCCAGCAGCTCCCGGCAGTGCCGGGGGCTCAGGGGCCGGCAGGGAATTCCTGGAGGAGCCGTGGGGGTGGGATCTGAGCCCTCCCCAAAGCTCCTTCGGGTCTGCAGCCACTGGGACCACCCAAAAAAGGGACCACCCCAAAGAGGGACCATCCCAAAAAGGGACAACCAGCACAGGCCTCCCCAGAAGCAGTGCCATTCCTAGGCCATACTGGGATCCACGGTGCCATCCTGCCAGTCCTGGATCTGCCATGGAGGGGGGATCTGAGCACTCCCCAAAACTCCTTCAGAGCAGCTCACAGGTCTGCAGCTGTGTGGGACCACCCCAAAAAAGGGACCATCCCAAAAAGGGACCATCCCAAAAAGGAGTCACCCCAAGAAGGTGTCACCCCAAGCAGGGGTCACCCCAAGCAGGAGTCACCCCAAGAAGGAGTAATTCAAAAAGGAACGCAGGAGTCACCGGACCATCCCGAAAAGGGACCATCCCAAAAAAGGAGTCACCCCAAGAAGGTGTCACCCCAAGCAGGGGTCACCCCAAGAAGGAGTAACCCAAAAAGGGACTATCCCAAAAAGGGACCATCCCAAAAAAAGGAGTCACCCCAAGAAGGTGTCACCCCAAGCAGGGGTCACCCCAAGAAGGAGTAATTCAAAAAGGAACCATCCCAAAAAGGGACCATCCCGAAAAGGGACCATCCCAAAAAAGGAGTCACCCCAAGAAGGGGTCACCCCAAGCAGGGGGTCACCCCAAACAGGGGTCACCCCAAGAAGGGGGTCACCCCAAGCAGGGGTCACCCCAAGAAGGGGGTCACCCCAAGCAGGGGTCACCCCAAGCAGGGGTCACCCCAAGAAGGGGGTCACCAGCACGGGCCCCCCGTTGCTGTGCCAGGACCCACGGCTGCACCACTCCAGCCCCGGATGCGCTGGCGCTGAGCGAGCCCTCCCATCCCGCTGCTGCTGCTGCTGCTGCAGACGCCAATTCCCTTTGGGAATGCTCCCCTCACGGCCTGGCGGTGCCAGGAGCTGGATAACGGGAAGGTTTCGGTGCCCAGCCCTGCCAGCCCCCGTCAGATCCGGCTCTGTTGTCCCACAGCAGTGACACTCCCGGTGCAGGGAACGCGACAGCTGACGGCTCTGGGAAGCCGTTCAAGACCTCGGACGCTCAGCGGAGGATTTGCAAATAAACACGAAAAATCAATGGAGCAGCGGGAAGTTAACGGAATTCCACAGCCGGCAAACTCCGGCAATTTCCGACAGGCAGACGGATTTTGTTGGGTTTAACCCGTTTTCCGGGGCAGGAGTTGGATCCCAACAATGAATCACCTCGCGAGCTGTGGCTGCCCCATCCCTGGAATGTTCACATCCAGGCTGGACAGGGCTTGGAACAGCCTGGGATAGAGGAAGTGGGAGTGGATGGGCTGGAAGGTCCCTTCCAACCCAACCCTACTCATCCCAACACATTCTGGGATCCCACGATTCCATGAAATGCCAGTCCCGGCTCTCCTCGGCTGCTGGAGAGAGTCATCAGCCACTGAGAAGTTAATTAAGCCCAGGGATCTGAGGCTCACTTAATTAAAGGTGAGCAGCGAGGACGTCGCTCCATTAGCGACGGAGTCGGAGCTGCATCTTCAGGGAGCTCCAGGAGGGAGGCACCCGCTCCCTTCCCTCCCGGAACGCCGAGATTTCCGTCCCAAATTTGATGGGAATGCTCTGGTTTATCCCAGGCTGGGGAAGCCAGGCAAGAAAGCCATTTTTTGGTTCCAGTGAGGAACAGAGCAGCCCCAGAAGGGGATGAGAGACCCCCAAATTCCCTCATCCCAAAACAACTCCCCACAGCTCAGAACACCCGACAGGTGATGGAATTCCAGCTTTCCTCTCCAATTAACAGCATTACACCGGGCAGGGCCTAATCCAGGTCTACTTCCAAGGAAGCAGCAGCTCATATCCACTGCCAGAATTCCGGCAGGGACTGACCACGAAGTGCTGCCATTCCCAGCTGCTGGGGGTCCCACTCCCAGCCCCAGCCCCTTCCCAAGGGCACAGGGTGGGGGTGATGACAGATGCAGGCACAGCTGGAGCAGCAGGAAATGCTCCAAGACCTGGGACGGCAACTCCAGCTCCAGATTCCAGGGCTCCTCAGGGACTCTGCAGTCCCTGAGGGATCCCAGGGTGGGGGGAACCTGCTCCATTCCCCTTGAGGGAGAAAGATTCCACCCGGAGCAAGAGAGGCTCCTGGGAATCCATGGAGTTGCAGGCTCCTGCTCCCGGAGCAGGGAAGGGGCCATGGCTCATCAGCGCTGTCACGCCACGCTTCACCCTCGGCTGAACCCGCCTGGGATGTGCCAGGTGGGAAATCCATCCTGGAGATCCATCCCAGAGGCCACGACAGGGAACAGGCAGCGCCTGGAACACGCATCCCACTGATCCAGGGGTGCTCAGAGCAGGGGGAATGGCCCGGTCCCCCCGGGATGAGCCAGAGCTCCCAGCTCTCCATGCAAAGATTTCGGGGGGTTTCCCAGAATTCCGGGTGCCAACACCCAAGGGGGGTCCCCAGCGGAGCCAAGGGGACCTAGAGCCCAGTGGCACTGTGGGATGGCAGGTGGGGAGAGCCCCCCCGTCCCTGCCAGCGCAATTAGGGAAGCTCATTATTTGTAAAGTAATTAGCAGAGCTAATCAACTCCCAGCGCCAGGGCGGAATGAGCGGGAGGAGAGCGGGAGCTGC